ATTTCAATTTTCACTTATTCCACATCCAATTATACTGTTTCTCAGTGAACATAGGAACTTCATATAATATATACAAAAATACTTACTCCTATATTTCAAGATTCATTTAAAAGTTTGATAGAACATGAAAAATAAGGATGTTCGCATGTAAAAATTTGACGTTTTCGTTTTTTCAACCAATAGCAATCCGTTATTCAAGCCAATCATTCCGTATTATACTGATAACACTGCATGATCCTCGATTATTTTTATTGAACTGTCAAAACAAAACCCGACAAAACTATTATAACTGCTTTAATTCTCTACTAGAGTCTAGCCATAGCACCATAGCGATAACGAATCACTATCGGCCTAACCAATAAATGCCTCCATGGTATTTTTTTCGATTAATGACTTCGAAATAAAAATGAAAAGAAGATTAGCTGGAGTGGGGATCGAACCCCGGCCTTTTTGCCTGGAGGAAGGAACACTAATAACAACCACGCTTCTAGCAAAATAATCCACAAAACAATTCAATACGCTCTTTACTTGCCACCGTGGCAATATTTCGTGTCGTATAGTGGTGCTATGGCTAGGCTCTAATTAATTCTCTTAGTCTTATATTATCACTGGACTGTATTCCTTTCATAAAACAATAACATTCCTATTCAAATATTGATAATTATTACTGGCTGAATAAAAACTATCCCTTTCATTAACATAAACAATAACATTCTTAGGTTATAATAGTTCAGTGATGACACCAGATAGCACGAATTCAATACTATACCTGAAATGAGCCATCTAGAGACAGGTTGCAAAGAGACTGGGCGCAACAAATATTCCGTGCGGAAACAAGCTAACAGAAATTTAGTTTAAAAAAAACATAGAAGATAAATTAGCGTCTATTGGCAGTGCTACAAAATTCATTCAAAATGAACATCACAATGGAAGTATGTAAGATTACTTCGACTCGCAGAATGTATCTTTTCCTCAAATCGGCGAAAAAAATGATTTTTCCGAAAACAACTCGTCCCTTGAATTCTATCCGATGATTTTTTGTTTTCGTAAAAAATTCCAAAAATTATCGATGATTGAAGGACTCGTGTTATTACCTTCGAAAATTTCTTTTTACAAATAATGTGAAAAATGTAGATAAACCTTGAATTGTTCCTGCCTGAGTTTTATCATTATATATTATTGAAAAACTAATCTCCTCCAGTTGTTCCTTCAATATAGAATCATTCCATCAGAATACAACAAAGACTCAATTTGAATAGCTTAATGTACTGTAGACGGCTCAATTTCCTCATTCGAAATTGACTCCGTCTAATCCAAATCCAATATCGTATTTACCTCGGTATTTATCGATGCATCAAAGATGTTATCGAAATGAATTAGTTTCTATTCCGCCCGTGAGCCTTTGTGTTTCTAGTGACAACTTCGAAATGGCTGATGCAAGGCAGATCGACTGGTTCTATTATATTCAAATTTCATTGAAATGTGTGAATAACATTTACAGCGTATTACACAGTTTTTTGACCTCATTCATACTATACCTTACTAGGAAACTTCATTTTCGATCCGAAAAGAAGGTAGGAAAATGACAATTCTTCTCCTCAAGAACAACCATTCTCCTTCTTTTAACTTTCACATAAGCAACGTTTTTCTTTCACCTCATCTGTCTGATTTTGTAAGAAGATTTCTGTCTGATTTTCTAAGAAGATTTCTGTCTGATTTTGTAAGAAGATTTATGAAAATACTAGGTTGGCATCTTGGGAGACTTTTCTCATACTCCGCGTTCTTCTAACCATTTTTTGAACACACTATATTTCTTTTCATATCTTGCTCTCGAGCATTGAAATCGATTTTGTGTCTCTTCAGCGAGATCTTTTGGCAGGTAGTCTCTGCTGGAACTCTTTTGGAAACTTAGTACTTTATACAGGATGATTCAGAAGGACTTTGACTATTTTCAGGAGGTGATGCTTCACAATATTCTTAAATGAATTCTCCAATTGAGTATATGTTCGCAAGCGCTCCGTTTCCAAGATACAGGGTGTTATAATTTTATTTCACAATGATTGTTTTAAAACTTACAGAAACGTCAACAAAACGATTAACTGTCTAATTACTAAAACTACTTACTTATGATGTCAAATTCATTTCCTGAGCATTCTTGTGAAAAATGCAAAATAATGGTAATAATAGTCTGTAGGTTAATCGAGGAGGTGGTACATTCATTATTCCAAATTTTTTGGGATTTTCTCTCCTCGTTTCTATGAAATAAAAATATGAATACTATTTCAATATACGTGCGTAGTAAGGACAAATCAGATGATTTGCCCCAAAATGTCACTGCGTTTGAAGAATTTTCCTATCAGAGAGCCTAAAAGAAAAATTCACTAGCTTGTCAGTGACAATTTGTATTGAAAAAAGTTTGGAGAAGAGAAATAAAGGTATATAGAAAAAATTTCATATTTTCACTGAGAACTGAAAAGTTTCAAGACAGATACGACTTTGCTATTGAAAAAAACATTTTTTATTTTGAAAACGGTAGCAGGTTCGGTCCCGAAACGTCCATGGAATTTTGATATTTTTTCTATATATACCTTTATTTCTCTTCTCCAAACTTTTTTCAATTCAAGTTGTCACTGACAAGCTAGTGAATTTTTCTTTTATGCTCTCTGATAGGAAAATTCTTCAAACGCAGTGACATTTTGGGGCAAATCATCTGATTTGTCCTTACTACACGTATATTGAAAAATTGTTAATATTCTCATTTTATTGAAACGAGGAGAGAAAATCTCAAAAAATAGGAATAATTAATGGTAATAACTTCAACATGCATCGATTATCAAATAATCGACTAAAATTCCAAATATCTAGAAAACGGTTGCTTATAGAAGGAGTAGCTTTTTCACGAAAATTTTATGGAAGAATCGATCATTTTATTGAATAATGTGCAAGAAGTTCGTTCTAAAAAGTAATGAATCTTAAAAAAAGAGAAAGACGTATATAGGTGACGCACCCTACGAATAAGAGCAATGATAACATCAGGTTCGAAAACAATGAAGGTGATAAAAAATAATATATCTACATACCTTAGGAGGAATAGATTCGATATTAGATCGGGTATTACTCGAGAATCACAAAATCACTCCAGTACTAAATCGAAGCTCTCATTATTTTTTCATCAAGGACATCATTTCGGAAGTTTTTGAAAAAAATTCAACTTTTAACTCTCTATCTGGATAGATATTATACTAGAGTCTCGAGATCATACCCGTGTGTTCACCGAACACGCCCGATCGTTCCCTAAGCGGTGGGGAAACGTAAACGGGCAGCAGTAACTACGTTATGAATATTGGCGCGTGCCTGAATTATTTTGGAGTCAAACACTAGTAGTTGTGCCTTCTTGTTTTACATATATTATAGGTAGACATCAAATCAATAAACATAGTGCTCTCGCCATCGGTATTTGCTGAACTTCGCTATGGGAAAAATGTTGAATAACTATATTGGGATGAAGAATGATCTATACAGGGTGTATCTAAATAACACCGAAATAATTCAAGGGATGATTCCTTGTGATATAATATGATGAATAAAGGTCATATAAACATGTGTCCTAAACTTGCTTCGTTTTCGAGGTACAGGGTTACGTCCTGATTTCGAATCCGAAGTGATTTTCAACCTATCTTGCCTCCTAATATCATTTTCCGGAAATGTTGGTGGGTCCATGACCAGAGCAGTGTTTTTCACTGAAGATTACCTCACTTTGGTCATAGTTGGTATAATCTATCGCTCCTTAAAATTGAACAGTTACGTTAGATATACACGGGTTGATATTCCATTATAGAAGTGACATGCACACTGTTTATATTTTTAAATACATCCAGTGGGATTGAATTTTATTTTATGTTGAATATTAGAGTGTGTTTTTTTATGTGATATATTTGTTTTGTTTATTTCGAATATATATATATTATTTTAGTAGGCATACTAGTACTTCTTTTATATAATTCTGAAATCTGATCCACCCTGTATTTGTTTCAATTAAATGGCATCAGTAGATAGTAAATAGAATGTTAGGATAGGGACACAAGTAAGCCATTTTGACAAATCAATATAGGTATTGTATAGTATCGATACAAAAAAAATCTCGATTTTTCACATTCTACGTATAGGTATACCTCGAGCTTGATCAACGAAATCATAGCTCAATTAGAAGAATCGAAAATTGTAATAAAATATAAGGTTTTCCATTTTGAATAATAAAGCTGCTACTACTATACTACTAAGTACTACATAACTACTAATAATAATTTCTAGTGAAGCAGATGAACATTATCGAAAATAATTTGAATAAAACGAGCGTCCTCGCCAACAAAACATAAGCATATAATATGTACTAGAGTTTCATGATTTTCGATGAGTAGTTCGCTATTTACATGTAGGACTCGTCGTGACATAGCGAATTATTGCAAATCAAATCATCGCTTTCATTATCTGATAGGTCGCAGTAGAACACTTGATGCCTATCAAATGTTTCTTATTTATTCGAAAAAAAAAAAAGTTGAAATGTGATCAAGAAAACTGTTGGTGGCCCACCCCGTACTACAAAAACAAAGACAGCATGAGAGAAGCTGCCTGCCCACTCATTGTATCATGACTGCCTGCTTACGTCTCGGTCTCCCCACCGCTTAGGCAGATATTATACACTCTATGCTTAGGTAACGATCGAGCGTGTTCGGTGAACACACGGGTATGATCTCGAGACTCTTGTAGATATTATACGTATTTGGACAATTCATATTAGAATATTGGGAGGAATCACTTCCTGAAGTTTGTCAAAGTACGTTTTCACTTTGTACACCCTGTATGAAAAGAAAGACCTTGAAGGTAATGAAAGAAATCAATATACACCCCTCAGGTGGAATAGATTCGAGAAAACATCGGGTATTACTCGAAAATCACACGATCACTTCAGTGTACTAAATCGGAGCTCTCATTATTTTCAGGTAAATGTGGCAACGACCACACCACACCCACCACCAGCAACCATGCATCGGCAGCGGCGCAGGCGCGACAGACCACGCCCACTACTGTCCAGGCGGCAGCAGCGGCGCCGGGCGCAAGCAGATCTCGTTGAGCGCGAGACGGTGCACCGCCCCGCCAGCCCACGCCCAACCGCACGCCCAAAATCACGCCCACTCCCAAATTCATGCCCACGCCTTCCCTCTGCTGAATTTCCCGCCGCCGCCCGCCTACCCGCCCGCCCGCAAGATGGCGGACGATCCGTTCGCCGCGGTGGCGGGGCCTTCAAGCCAGCCGGATCCGCCCTGGCCCATGGACTACTCGTACGCGTACTACGAGCCGGGCCCGCCCACCAGGCACACGAACGTGCCCAGCAAGTATCCAGGGGCGTACCGCGAGGGATCGTACCGGACTAGGCATACGTATCTCACCAGGTGGGTAATTTTTGATGGTAGTTGATAGGCTTACTGCCCACAGAACTCAAGTGTTACTGCCTTATTATTAGTCTACAGCATTTTCAAAGTTCTAAAAATTGTTCTAAAATATTTTTTTAATCGGTCATCTGGCTGCCCCCTTACGAACAACCCTCAGTCCTCAACAGACTTGTGCGAGCAAGAAATGACGGGGGCCTTATCTTTTAAAGTGTGATCCCAAACACTTTCTTATGCCATCAGAAACATTCTGCAGTCGTGGGAGCCGAACCCATGAACCGGCAATCCAACGTTAATAGAATACTGACGCTTCAACCACGAAAGAATCATAATCTCCGACCCCGCAAAACCCCCAGATACCAATTTTGAATGGAATTGAATCAAAACTTGTCCGCCATATTGGATCCGCCATCTTGAATTCCCTAATTTTGACGAAGGGATCATAATCCCCGAATGATTGAATCAGATAATAATTACAAAACTTCCGCCACAAATTTCCAAATTGTCACGGAGAAATCCTAATCTCTGGCCCCGAAACCTCCCAGATACCAATTTGGAATGAAATCGGACCATAATTACAAATTCCGTTGGTCATATTGGATCCGCCATCTTGAATTTCCAAATTTTGACGGAAGAAGCATAATCTCTAACCCCGAAAACTCCCAGATACCAATTTTGAATCGGATCATAATCACGAAGTCTTGTTCAAATTAACCACAAACCAGAGTTGAGCTAATTCCAAATATTGACTACAACTGCATCCATAAGATACTACCCAGACACTCTTCTGAGAGTGACGTTTTCAATAATTAGACGAGCAACAATGTGTTGTCAAGCAGCGGGGAGACATTTTGAACAAAACCTTGATGACATTTGTGTAAGTGATGAAAATAATCAGAATTGATAAAATATTTCATCACTTTATTCAAAATCCTCTCTGCTTCATTAGACACTCTGTTAAATTTAATATTACTCATTACTCCTCAACCATTGTCGTTCTAGATGACAAGCTAGTTAGGTAGTAAGTAGGCGAGTAATCGAATATTTCGATTCACTGAACAGACAATATTATACCTCCTCGCACTAGGTCGCCTACTAGGTTTTCATTTAGATCGACAATGAATCAACTATAGAGTTTGGGACAAAAGTGTATAAGGCACTTTGGGAAAGTTCAAGGAATGGGCATCGAGTCACGGGACACCATGTATAATTATTGACTATAGATTACTATTTAATAGTCCACAGTCTGAAGAAATCCTTCATAATAGTTCACAGACCTTCATTATATTCCAAAATCTACAAATCTTTTAATAGTCCACGGACCTTTGGAACGTTGGATATATGTTTGTAGCTGACAAGTTTTTGATAGTCAACAGTAGTCTACAGTTGATCGGTTTTTTATACAAAAAGTCCACAACTTTTCGATGGTTGAGGGTTCGTTTTCAAAACTCCTCCTGGAGTAGTTCCTCATGTCATTCTCTTTTTGGTACCATTTCCTACGTCTGGTTCGTCTGTGTTTGCCCTTATCTAGGCAAAATTGATCTTCTGGATCACCCTTCCTAGTGTGGTGTTGAGCTATGCAACGGCTTTCAGATCTGCTAGTCAGTGTTTTCGTTGGTGTGCAATGGGAATGCGTCACAATAAGTGTAGTCTACGTGTGGTTTTTTTGTCTTCTCTGGGCCAAAATGAACGCACCGCATCATCGTCTTATATCGACCCTCTCCCTCTCCTCTTTCAGGTACAGTACTGAAGAGAATAGACAAAAATCACTATCACACTTGTGACATTAAGTAATCTACTCTACTGTACTCAAGAGTTTAGTCCACTGGGCTTCGTTTCCTGTACTTTTCCACGTTTCTTGCCAATTATCCGTAGTGATTGTTCTTTCCTCATTCTTCGACTCTCGTCGACAAGAAGCTTGATTGGTATTGTTCCAGTTATATTACTCTAAGAAGCAAGGAGTGCCATAGAGAAGAATATACTATACCACGTAGTACAGCATCATTCTTTTGTTCGGAAAATAATGAACCCAGACAGTCCTTAAAGTCCCACAGCCTGAATAGTGTACGAAAAATTCCTTTTCTCTGTTTATTTCCTTCATTTCTTTCATTTCCCGAAAATTCCTCACAATTCCCCGAAAGTCCTCTAATTCACATCCATTTCCTCTTCAATTCCTCGCATTTCCCCAAACTGCCTCTATTTCCCATGCATTTCCTTCATTTACAATTTACTACCTCTAAGGAAGCCGATAAGCGGACAGGATTGATATCATGACCCCCGCCTTCAACCAAAGAATTCATTCGCTTGCCGGGTTCGAACTGTCGTCATTTCGGACACTAATAAATAGACAGCATACTGCTGCATACTAGATTAGACAGCGAACGAGCGATAAAGGCGTCTTGCCCACTGAGCTGAGGTCCCCAATTTCTCTGAAATGCCTCGAAATTCCCCTAAATTCCTCGAAATTCCCCTAAATTCCTCGAAATTTCCCGAAATTCCTCCATTTCCTCGTTATTTTCCACGAAGTGTACGAGAAATTTCTCTGTGGTTAACACCTCGATTTTATCTCATCTCGCAGGTACGGCACTGAGGAGAACATCTACGAGGAGATCAGTGACCTGGCGCGCGCCAGACGCCGCCACCAGGCGCGCCAGGACTCGATCCTCTCGCTCAACCAGAGCCTCGTAGAAGAGGAGGTCCGTCGAGTCCAGAGCGGGCATCGGAGGGTGTTGGGGGAGCTGAACCTCTCCGTGGAGGCCATGCTGATGCCCTCCGACTCCCGGGAGGGGAGTGACGATACGGATCGGGAGGGCGAGACGGACGATCAGCTCGCTGATCTGCTGACGGTTAGTAGTTAGAGCCAGTGAGCCAACCTGTGGGAATTTGGTCATAATAATAAAACTAATAATAATAATAATCTTTATTTTCCTTGAAGACAAAGTTACAAAATTTGTATAGGAATCGTCAAAAAAACAAGAAGAAAAAAGGAGATCGGAGATTAAAAATATCCTGAGAAAAAGACGATGAAAACTACGGGGAAAACTACCTACTTATACACAAAAATTCTTCAAAACTCTAATAACACTTATCAACTAGATAATTCTTGAGTGTTCGTTTAAACATTGAAACAGTTTTGGATTGTTTTATAAAATCTGGGAGCAAATTATGAACACGTGGTGCCATCTGGTCAGGAGATTCGAAAGCTAATTTGGTTTTTTCAAATGGTACAAAAACATCATTTTTTTGTCTTGTATCAATAATATGTTTACAATTTATTCAGTACAAACAATTTATTTCTATTCTCGAACACAGATAAGCACAAGTCAAAAATTAAAAGACTAGGGACAGTAAAAAAATTTAAATTTCTGGAAAATGGTCTGCATGGATCAAAGAGACCTATGCCATTAATGATTCGTATCAATTTTTTTGTGCAATGAAGACATTAGAGCAAGCTAGAGGACCCCAGAAGCACTCTCCATAATTATCTCAGTCTGGAATCCACCTGAGCATAGTACAGCTTCAGCAGCTGATCATCATTTAAAACCTGCCTTATAATCCTGAACTGATATGAAGTAGAGTTAATTTTTTTGATCAGAAAATCACAGTGATTTTGCCAATTTGAATGTTCATCAATGTGAAGACCTAAAAATTGTAAGCTCTCACACTCTGTTGTTACAGTGTCAGAATTATCGTTAGCTCTAAAGCTTATTGAATGTGTTTTTTTTTCGCGTTCAAAAACAAATGGTCTGCAGAAAACCATTTGTTGATGTTTTCAATAGCTTTGTCACATTTTTCTTTCAAATCTGAATCTGATCTGTCAGAAATTATAATTGACGTGTCGTCTGCATACATTCTTATGAATGTTCCAGGAATTGAATATTCCAAATCATTAATATACAAAACAAACAATATGGGTCCCAATATCGATCCTTGAGGTACTCCTAATTCAGAGAAGACCATGCTGGAAGTTGCTTTGTTAATCGCGACGTATTGTTTTCTATAAGAAAGATAGTCTGTTATCTATGCTAATGGTATACTCCGTATGCCATAACGGAATAGTTTGTCTAAAAGAATCTTATGATCGACACAGTCGAATGCCCTGCTGAGATCTCGGCTAAGATAACAAAATATCCCAACAGGGCACTCGCCTGCTTCAATATAGTTCACAATCTCTCTGTGATATGAATGTATAGCTCAACTGTTATTATATTATGGGAATACTTGTTGAAAAAATATAGAAATGGGGAAGAAGGAGAAACAACCAAATGAACTCATAATATGGAAATTTTCGTACTTGGCTACTGTATGTGTATGTACCATCTTGACCCTTGCTAGAGGATTTCTATCAAAATAGGTTGGCAACACTAGTTAGAGCAGTTGATGGGGTTGAATTGGGGTGGAAATGATTCCCACAAAAACGCAGTTTTCATTTTCTGATGCCTTGAGCGCCGTTCACAATCAAACTTTTCACGTTTTGCTTTCGGCCGTGTCTAGAGCCACGCTAACTTGGATCTTGGTTTCAGAATTCTTCACGCAAAATGCGTCATTGAAGTAGTGAGACAGATCAACGTTACTCTTGGATCTTTATACCCGAGTTCATACCTCTTGATCAATCTACAGGGTGTCCTTAAAAATTCTTTACAAAAAGCTACCACATATTCTTCAGACCAAAACAATTCGATACAAGCAAACTTACCTCAGTAAAAAGTTGCTTAGTTTGGGCGCTAGACGGCTCTGAAGTTGAAATTTTCAAATCGATTTTGCTTCATAACTTCTGAACGGCTCATAAGATTTTTTTCAAATTTGGTACGTTGGCATAGACTCATCGGGCAATGAAACTCATATCATAATCATAATGAATATCATTCCATGGGCGTAGAACTTGATTTTTTCAGGAAATAAACATCTAAAACTCCTACGCCAATGGAAAAAAATTAGTTTCAATATGAAATCTAAATTATTCAACTCATTCACTACAAAAAAGGTACTCTTGACAAAAGTCGATTCCTCTCATGGTTTCGACAAAATTTCAATTTTAGTGATTTAGAGCATAATTAATAATAAAACGATTAACAGATATTTCATAAAAATTGTTCAAAATGTTCACCATTTTCACGTATACAAAGATTTATACGACGCAAAAAGTTGAGATGTACTTTTTGCATAGGTTATTTCTATTGAAAATAAGTAGCACTGGTTTTTTTTTCTGAAAACTATTATTATCTGCTCGAAAACAGTGATATTCACATTCTTGGTTTCCATAGTTTCATCTGTGTCGATTTGTCGAGTTTTATTGACGTTGATTGTTGATATCGGACTTTTCTGATTTATCATGGCCGTACAATACACCAATGAAGAATACACCGATATGGAGCTCCATCGTGCATAAACCACATATCTACCCGATGTTGGAGTGGTAAATCTTCCAACAAATTTGGCAACGTATTTCGTAGATGTTGTAAATACATGTCTCCTGTTAATCTTTGTGGAAGTATGACAGGACCAATTATAAAATTTCCTATTATTCCAGCCCAAACGTTGATTTTGAATTCGTGTTGAAAATGGTTTATTTTAATGGAATGAGGATTTTCAATTGCATAAACGTGTTCATTATGAAAATTAGTTATTCCTCTTCTCGTGAAACAGGCTTCATCAGTGAACAAAATATTCTTTCCAAAGTTCAGATTCATTTCTCTTTGCAAATTAATGAACCTACAAACCATCAGACGACTTTGTGAATCATGGATTAATAAATCTTGAACTGGCGTCTTGTGGTATGGGTATAATAATTGTTCTCTTAGTACTTCATGAACGGCATTCCTAGAAACTTCTAGTTCATTACTTATCCGTCTAGTACTCAATTCTGGATTTTCTTCAATACGGTCTAAAATTTCTACTTCGACTTCGGGAATCCTTACATAATCACCAGTTCTAGGAGCAAAATGACCGGTCTCCCGAAGACGTCTCTCAACTGCAGCAAAGGTTGGGTGGCTTGGTACGCGACGATTTGGAAACCTTGCCGAATACACCCTCACACTCTCTCGACCATTTCCTTGACAATATCCGAATACCAATAACATATCGGTGTATTCTTCATTGGTGTATTGTACGGCCATGATAAATCAGAAAAGTCCGATATCAACAATCAACGTCAATAAAACTCGACAAATCAACACAGATGAAACTATGGAAACCAAGAATGTGAATATCACTGTTTTCGAGCAGATAATAATAGTCTTCAGAAAAAAAAAACCAGTGCTACTTATTTTCAATAGAAATAACCTATGCAAAAAGTACATCTCAACTTTTTGCGTTGTATAAATCTTTGTATACGTGAAAATGGTGAACATTTTGAACAATTTTTATGAAATATCTGTTAATCGTTTTATTATTGATTATGCTCTTAATCACTTAAATTAAAATTTTGTCGAAATCATTCGACCATTTGTCAAGAGTACCTTTTTTGTAGTGAATGAGTTGAACAATCTAGATTTCATATTGAAACTAACTTTTTCCATTGGCGTAGGAGTTTTAGATGTTTATTTACTGAAAAAAGCAAGTTCTACGCCCATGGAATGATATTCATTATGATTAGGATTTCAACTTTTTGCGTCGTATAAATCTTTGTTCACGCGAAAATAGTGAACATTTTGGAAAACTTTCATGCAATATCTATCAATCGTTTTATTATTTAAATATGCGCGAAATCACTAAAACTTAAATATTGTCGAAACCATCAGAGTAATCGAATTTTATCAAGAGTACCTTTTTTGTAGTGAATGATTTGGGCTATCTAGATGTCATACTGAAACTGATTTTTTTTCATTGGCGTAGAAGTTTTAGATGTTTATTTCCTGAAAAAATCAAGTTCTACGCCCATGGAATGATATTCATTATGATTATGATATGAGTTTCATTGCCCGATGAGTCTATGCCAACGTATCAAATTTGAAAAAAATCTCATGAGCCGTTCCAAAGTTATGAAGCAAAATCGATTTGAAAATTTCAACTTCAGAGCAGTCTAGCGCCCAAACTAAGCAACTTTTTACTGAGGTAAGTTTGCTTGTATCGAATTGTTTTGGTCTGAAGAATATGTGGTAGCTTTTTGTAAAGACCTTTTAAGGACACCCTGTATATACGCTAATTTCGCGTGAAGCATTTCCCTTGTGATCATTCCACGGTTGTTTCGCGTGGAGCATTTATTTCCTTGCATGTGATTAGCTCACCCTAATTTCGCGTGAATCATTCCTTTGTGATCAATCCACGGTAGTTCCGCGTGGAGAATTATTCCAACTAATATATCTTTATTTTTATCATGGACATGCATTGATTATGACGGTATGAACAGCAACAAGTTGTTGTCTGGAGTATTCTGACTGACTGACAAAAAACGCCCTAAGCTATAGCGCCACTATTTATCATCCTATTTTAGAAAAACAAAAAAGGCACTGACATGACTTATTGTATATAAGTAATGTCAGTGCCTTTAGTAGTATGTCCAGCTTTCCATGAATACACTCTTCATAACATTTTCGTGGCGTGTGATGTTGAGGGTTACAAAAAAGGACTTTATTGGGGAAAAGCATATCAGGGCTTATTTTAGATAACTATTTCTATGAGATCTTGATTGAGCATCCCCAAAAACTCCCAGATAGCGCTAAAAATAAATATTTCAAAATCCTGCTATTCATAACTATACCCTAAAATCCCTGTTATTGATAAATACTGTCTGTTATTGATGATGCGATTTTCTTGAAATTGTGAAGGTCATTGTATATTAGAAAAATAACATACATACGTCATAAAAAGCGGGATTTTGATTTTTCCTTGAGATTTTGAAAATATGAATTGGGGGTTTTTTGGGGATGCTGATTCCGAATCTGGAATTAGCTTTAATAGCCTTTTCCCGAATAAAGGCCTTTTTTGTACCCCTCAACATCGCACGTCAAAATTTGATATTTTTTCTATATACCTTTATTTCTCTTCTCCAAAAATTTTTCAACACAAATTGTCACTGACAAGCTAGTGAATTTTTCTTTTAGGCTCTCTGATAGGAAAATTCTTTAAACGCAGTGACATTTTGGGGCAAATCATCTGATTTGTCGTTACTACACGTATATTGAAATAATATTCATATTTTTATTTTATAGAAACGAGGAGAGAAAATCCAAAAAAATTTTGAATAATGAGCGAATTAAACTGTTCACTCTGCTAAATACTTTATTGTTCTAACATACAATCACCACAAGAATTGTAAGAAAATCACATCAATAATAACTGAGATGTCTGTGACTGTGTATTACAACGTATTACAAGGTGGCAGCAACAATATTTCAACTTTGACGATAACGACAATCAACAACATACAGGTGATTATTTTTAATTTTTTTCTGGAAGATTTTTCTATATAAGTTGATGGAAGGTAATGCTCCGCCGACAAGAAACCGGTATTTTTCAAATTTCATTTTCTATTGAGTCATTGAATGTGGCAGAAGATGTCTCAGACTTCATGGATTGATCATAATATGGAAAGGCTCCTCACAAATTTACCGGTAATTGATCATAACTGAATGATCCACGTGAAATTACCGTGGATTAATCAAGAGGGGAAGGTCCACGCGAAACGTTGACGTCACTACCTTCATGAAGCATTTCGCGAAAAGTAATTCAGAAAACAAGAAGAACGAATATTAAATTTAAATCACCGCATTTTTATTTTGCACGCAGGTTTATCACTCCATATTTTCGAATATGAGACTTCTTCTATACAGGATTCAAAACAAAAAATCAAATGAAATGATTCTTCCGGATTCATCAGATACAATGAGGTGAAACTTAGCATATCTTTTCTCAGTTTCAACTCTGATTACAGCGATTGTCAACTTTTTCATCAATTGGCATTGTATATATTTTTCAATATTTTTTCCGAAACATAATATTTTTTCTGAATACAATGATGTATAAAAAGTCGACTCGCGCAAAATTACATCATTCAAGGAAGGTGTTCCCAGAGGCATATAACCTTCAGAAATTCAAGAAGAACACCAATTCCTACCTTATTTCCCTTGGTTCTCACGATGTTCCCTGAACATTACAGGATATCCCTTTTCGTGGGAACCAGAACATAAAAAAAACACGTTTTCCAGTCTGTAGTTTCCTAGATAGTTTTCAATTAATCATTTTCCCAACATTATATTTTTTTTTTATAAAGAATGTATTCAACCTTCATTGGCTCCATAGAAAATTCTATGAAAAGATCAATCTCGTGTCGACGAAGCATACATTTTTTTCGACTAATTTTGCGCAAAAGTCAACTTGTTATACATCATTGTATTAAGAAAAAAAGCCTATTTGAAAAAAATAAATATACAAATCCCTTTGAAAAAAACAGTTGGCAATCGCTGTCGTTAGAGTTGAAATTGGAAAAAGATATTGTTAGTGTTACCTTGTAGTATCTGTTGAATCATTTCATTTGCTCTTTCCCTGGGAAAAGCAAAAAAATGTGTGGGAATTATTTCCATTAAAGACAATTTTTCATCGCCCATCGACTTATCCTAGGTCGGCCCTACCGACGACCTGTTGAGCCCCGTGCCGTTGGGCGCCGATCTGGACAGCGGCTTCAGCGGCAGCTCCAGCGGCGCCAGTTACAGGAGTGCGGCGGGCAGTCTGAGGAAGGGCAAGTCGAGGAGCGAAACGCCGGCAGAGGGGGCGCAGGGGGGCGGGGGCAAGGGGTTCTGGGGCAGGAAGACGTGGAGGAAGATCGCCGCTTTTCCGAGTAACATCAGTCTCAACAACAAGACCAAAGGTGAGTGAGTGGTTCGGTTCGGGAGTGGCACAGTGGCGTGTTTCGTTGATTGCTCCATATAATATTTACTTTATTTATCTATCTGGGAAGGTATACCCTGATAAACAGTTCCAAAGTATATTATTCCACAAACGAATATGGAATTCTTCGAGGATTCTGATAAATGTTGAATAATTTTTTGCATTGTTCCTGTAATAACCTGGAAAAAATCCTTCGATTAGTATTATGTTTGACTGATTGCGCCATATATTATTCTTCTTTAAAACAACGACTGTTGCTTTCCTATAGTACATGAATGATTTGGAAAATGACTGGTATAAAACCACTGTTTATACTTAACCCTCAAAGGCGGCACCAGCTTTTGTAGAGAGGAATTACGAACGTCAAAGTTGATACATTCCCCTTGTAAGGGTACCTGACGTGATTCCAATACATAAATGAATGTCGACCCATTTTTCGACATGAATGAAACATTTAGTGAATCGTGAGTCGTATTTTTCACGATAAAATGATCCAGAATATTACTATGATATGTATTTGAGGAATGAAAAATGTAATATTCATGAAAACTTATCCTAAGAATCTCCTTATTTCATTAATCTATCTGGAATGGCATTTACAGATATGTAGAGTTCCGAATGTGGTCAGGATTTTGAGAAAATCTTGAATAATTCGAATTGTTCCTAGAATTTCCTAAAAAAACGGATTAGTATTATGTTCTTCTGATTTCGCAATATATTATTCATTATAATTTAGTTATATGAAAGAAAACCTGGGTGCACCTTTCCCAGATCACAGCTTCATTAAAATAACAACTGTTGCTTTCCTATATACATGAATAATTTGTAAAATCACTGTTTATACCTAAACCTTGAAGGTGACACCCTCCTTTGTAGAGAGGCATTACGAAGGCCAAAGTTGATACACTCCCCTCGTAAGAATACCGGACGTGATTCCATACAATCACATGATATGAATGTCGACAAATTTTTCCACTTGAATGAAACGTTTGGTGAATCAATAATAGTCAACGAAAAATTTTTCGAAAAAGAATAGAATTATGATCTGTATATGAGGAATAAAATATGTAATATTCATGAAAACTCATCTTAAAATTCTCCATATTTCAATCACCTGTCTGGAATGATATTCACAGATGTAGAGTTCCGAAGTGAAGTGTCCTACAGACATCTGGGATAGATAGTTTTATGGATTCCCATTCACATATTGACCGAGTGAAGAAGGTGGATAAGCGATAAGACTCTGACGATGAAGTTTCGTTCATTCGCATCGATCACTGTGGACAAAGAAATCCAATTCTCATTCCACGATTTTTTTTATGTTGCATTACTGATTGGCTGACGAGTTTCTCTTTTTCCTCGAGTACTTACTTGTAACTTTTTCAGTGATTTTCAATTCTGAGTCATAAAAGATGGTGGTCTATTTGTCATGATTGACCACATGTTTCGTCATCTTCAATAGTCTGAGATACAAGGAATTATGGTTGGTTCCATTTTAGTATGATAACAAGAATGGTGGTGTCAAGAAGTTAAGTTTTATGGATTCTCATTCCACATATTGACCGAGTGAAGTAGGTGAACAAGCGATAAGACTCTGACGATGAAGTTTCGTTCATTCTCATCGATCACGGTGGACAAAGAAATCCAATTCTCATTCCACGATTTTTTTCATTACTGATTGGCTGTCGAGTTTGTCTTTTTCCTCGAGTACTTACCCCATTAGTAGCGAAAGTTTGCGCAAAGTGCCTTTGAGATGTCGTGCAAGTGGACACGGACTCGAAGTACGTTATTAGCCGAAGAAGGGTTGGCGGTCGTTCCGATTCTTTTATATGCGGAGTGCACTCGGGGGGCGGCAAGTTTTTCCCTCTGCTTCGACACGAGGGTATGCCTGGAGAGCCGATGAGTCGGTTTTTCCATGGGCGTCGCCAGAAAATTTTACAAAGGAGGGCTGAAATCGTATTTTTACTAATAATACTACAGATCGACCAACATAGCTTTGCCTCTGAGAATTGGATGCGCAGTAGACTAGTCGGCGGAGTGAGGCGAGAGCACATTAATGTCGAGGATCTCGTGCAGTCAACATCAGTTAGTACAGTCAGTGCAGAAATTATTTAGGTACTATTTAGATACTGCATTCAATCAACGGTTTCGACTAAAATTCTTCTCTCGATTGTATTTCCTGGTGAAAGGGCGAAGTCGGTCTTTGTCGCACACTAACCCTCTCTGTTTATCGTTTGCGCATCTCAGAGGCAAAGCTATGTTGGTCGATCTGTACAATAATTACCGGAAATTTGTTCGAGAACACGAATATTTTGGAACTTTCCCCGAGTCGTGTTCGAGAAAGAATTTATGGTTTTTAATTGCAGCTAGAGTGGTGTTCGGTAGGAAAATTTCACAACGAAATTTGAAAAAATTGTAGGATAAGATTACGCGAAATGAAAAACAAAATATCGACTTTAATTACCCCAGGCATAAGGCCGCTAGTGGTAGTTCAATTTATTCCACTGAAGTTGGTGGAAATATATTTTGTTACAAGGAACCCGACAGTATGGTGTATTAATAAAATTCATATCCATAAACATTGTTAGGTTGAATAGAACACAATCAACTCACTTTATCACACAAAATAATAAGAAATATATAGTAGCTCGATTCCTCAGTTTCTCACAGATTAATTTAATTCAAGTTGGTAAGTTCTATTTAGTATCAATGAAATATAATCTCGTAAAATTATTAGGTTAAATAGGGTATGATTTAACGACTTCAGATGAATGAAATAATAAAAAATAAGCTCAATCTCTCTGTTTTTACAAATTAATGTAGCTGAACTTGGTAGAAATATATTATCTTACAAGGACAATGTAGTCATTTCACCTATAAACCTCAGATTATTTCCAGTGTGATTTCACGATCCTTTTTCCAAAGGAAGAGGAAACATGTACAGAAATTTGTTTTAGTTGCTATATGGTAACGATAAAAATACGGGCTTTCAATTGGTCGAAAATGTTAGGTGTGAAATTTCCAGTGTAATTCAGAAACGAAGAAAAATTACGCCGCAGGTGAAATTTATTTTTATCGAAGTACGACGCAATTTTTTCACGGGTATCATCAGTTACAAATTCAAGTGCATATTATGACCTGAAAAATAATCACCCAAAATTATGAATACAGTTTTTGCATTCGATGAATTAAAAATATTTTCATTGTTCGGAAAACATATTACTGATATGAGTGTGTGAGATATTGAGAAGTTGATATTGATATACAGTAAGATTTTTTTGAAATTCAGTCCTACTTTCTGAAAGACAAATGCCGAACAGAATTTCAGTTATGATAAATCTATTATGCCTTGAAAATTTTTGAGGAACACTTTTTCTGTGAAGTGCCTATTTTGTAGCGAAAGTTATCTTATTTGATATCCAACCAAAATATCAAATTAAAAAAATTCAGACTACGGATACTTCGATTTCTAGCAACGATTCTGATCCAAGTTTCTGACGTATGTGTTACTAAAAAAAATCAAAAAAACTAACATTCATAGATGGCCGTGAAAATCTTTCATGAAAACAGATGTACACATGCGAGATAGTGGAAAAATAGTCAGATTCTGAAATTTTAGGATCAAAAAGTGTTTTTTAAATTTTCAGGCATGAATATTTATAATTTTTCAATACATTAGCGAGTATACAGGGAGGGGAGGCACGCCTTCCACTTGCCCTGCAGTGGCGACAGTCATGTGTTTTTCCCATTCGAACGAGTTCTTTTGAGGAAAATTGCTTTGATGGATAATTTGCGAGGAGCGCTCTTTCTGTTTCATCCTGGAAAGTGGCTGTTTTCTGTTGAACAAACAAAATAGAACAATATTACTTCTAACATTTGTCAGATTGGCTCATAAAAAAACGTGACTGCCGTGTTTATCAACAGTAATATCACGATGGTCTGAATATTTGAGACAATTCTGTCGCTTTGTCGTTTATGAAATTGTTACAATAATTGAAATAACAATGAAATACAGAATTATGAGAAGCTATTCAGAACATAGTGGTATTTTGCTAGACTATTACACGAAGAAAAAGATATTATGGCTATCCTAGTGGCTATCGCTATGGTTATATTATAACCAAAGCGATTTATTCTGACATCTACATCAGCTATAATTATTTTATGTAAAAATGACATGTACTTTTTTTTGCTATATCGTTGAAATTACCAACACTGATGAAACAAGCAGAATTGAAAGACAGCTAGTGTTTTCGAGATAATACAAGTTGGCTTTGGCTTTTGATTGATCAGATTATGTGATATTCAAAAAAAACATTTTAGGTCTACTCAAAATTCGAAATTCATATTACAGGCATAAGCAGGGCGTAAGGTAGATACGGGTAATAAAGCCTGTCGGCAAATAAGGCCTATAACATTCATAGAATGCGTCGTCGTGCGGCTCAAATAATGAAAAATCTTCAGAATCAATCGTGAGTTTTGTTCGTAATATTACACTTATTCATATAATTTTGCGCTATATAGTTTCCTTTTATTTAATGCTCCTGCGACCTCGATATTCAACTAGTATATCATGGTCTGAATAATGATATTTTTGATTTTTCTCTACACATGTTGTTGAAGGTTATCAAGGCCTACTAAATTTGACATGAGATGATCTGGATGCCGCAAATGGTTTCACCTCTGGTATCACGTCGGATTATCACCGGATGATACAGATGATTTGAGGGTCCTGATGGCTGCTATACAAAGACATTTGTCGTTATTTCTGAGACCTGAGCATGATCAATGCATAATCTCTGATTATTGATTTCAATTACCAAAACTTAGACGCCTATTTCGATTTTTTATGAATGTCGAAGTCTCAGGCATTATTATCTGACCATAGTATAATAAGGCCTAATGACAAGGTTTTTTAAAATGTTTGATTTCGTTCTTGTTAACGGCAGAAGTTGCCATCTTCTGATAATTTTTTATAGT